CCTAATAACTCTAATCTTCAACCTCCATCGCTCTTTTGATGGGTCAATGTCAATAATCTTATCAAAATTCCCAAGACAAGATGAAAAAAAATCACTAGTATACAACAAAAGCTTGAAATGTATAAGAGAGATTAAGCTATTATATAGCTATATAAAAACCTTTTCAACTCTCAAGATATTATTGAGTTGATAATATTAAAAAGTTGAAAAACAAAGCAACAAAAAATCAATTTGCTTTATGTGTCCTTCCATTTCTTTTTTCAGTTTCTCTACTGGTGTTATTCATTACAGCTTTCTATTGTAATGCAATTAATTAACTTTTTGAAACTTAAAACTTTATCAGAAGAAAGAGCCCTTATCAACAGAAAGAGGTTGACTTACTATTAATGTATTTGAAAATGGAAAAATAACAATACCAATGTATTGGGAAGTAAGAAGCATATTTATTATTTATTTTTCTTTTTTTTTTAAGAAAAATAATAAATAAAAGAATTAAAAAGAATGGATAATATCTAAAAAAAGGAAAAAAAAAAGAGCTTTAATTCAAAATTAAGAACATGATCAAATAAATAATTGATAGAATTCAAGAACTCAAAGTAAGATGACTTGGTCCTAGTTCATGGTTTATCCAGTCAACTGGCAACTTCTAGGCATCATGGAAACCCACTGAAAGGCGAGACAGTAGGGAATCAATGGAAGGCAATAGGTGGGTCTTGTCCTTGTGCACAAATAGTTTGTAGGTATTTCAAATAAGAAATTAAGACCAATAAACAGTCAATAAGTTAGTTTTGTTCCAATCCAAATGAGAAATCTATATATGCAGGCATAAAATTAATGGAGAGAGGAAGAAGAAGCACCTATAATTTTTGGGGTATTTCAAATGAGAAATTAAGACCAACAAATTAAGACCAATAAATGAGAAATTAAGACCAATAAACAATCTGTGAGTTAGTTTTGTTCCATTCCAAATGAGAAATCTATATAAGCAAGCATAGATTTATTGGAGAGAGGAAGAAGAAGCACTTGTGATTTTTGGTAAATTAGAGTTTGTTTTCATTCCAAATGACAAATCTATATATGCAAGCATGGAATTAACGAAGAGAAAAAGAAGAAGCACATGTAATTTTTGTTAAATTGGAGTTTATTTGAAATTAGGGATTTAGAAGGTGGATACAAAATCTAAGGGGAAATGAAAGGCATACCAGAGAGCACAAAAAGAGAGAAAGGAATTTATGGAAGTGGGTGGAAAATGTAGGAAACGACACTAATGGAGAGAGGAAGAAGAAGAGTAATAAGAGAGAAACGGTGCAACCGAAGAGTTTGTTTAGGTTTGGATACTACAAATTTGGGTTAAAATTAGGTAAGGGGTAATTTAGTGATTTAAATTAATTAATTTAATAATAATAATAATAATGCATTTTACATGAGAAAGATTTCTATATATGGTTGATTTGTCACATGTCAAAAGAAGGATAATTTAAAATTTGTATAGTAATTTAACACTTGGCAAGGGTTTCTATTCATGGTTTCTACTTTAATATATATATAGATTCCTTGGAGTAGGATCTGAAGAGTGTTAATAAATTGTGGGGAATTGAAACCAGACTCGGAAGAAATTGAGGGAGAAATTCTCTTCATGGTTGGGAAGTGAAAAACCAACTAGGGATTTATTAGTTGTTAGCATGGGATTGATGAATTTTTACAAGTGTGGTTAATTTGGAATTGAATGAATGAATTAGAAAAAAATCAAAATATAAAAACTTGGATAACTTGGAACTGTTGAAGAAAATGTCTTCATTTCTTCCTTTTCAATGTGAGGTAATCATTTTTTGTCTCATAACTCATTTCACTACATAACATACAACTTAAATTCAGAATCACCATATCAACTAGCAAGAGAGTATCATGAATTACTTAAATTGTTAGCAAAAAGTTAGGATCTATTTGTGTAATTTTTATTTACAACTTTCATATGTCATTATATATGTCACGCCCCAGAACCCAAATCCGAGGGCGTAACAGACGCCGTACACTTGTGAGACGGATCCCACAAGTGCACAAGGCTCGGAACTTACTCAACAAAATCAGTTTTGATACCATAAAATTTCCAATTAAAATCTAACTTACAAGAGCATGGTATACATATCTAGAATCTATGTCAAATCTCAAGTGGCTAGCCTTCTATCACGTCACTCCCCTTGATTTCCGTGTCTCGGGTTACACTACCTGAAATGATGGGCAAGGAAAAACGAGGTGAAATAACTCAGTAAGTAACATATGGATAGCCCGTAATTAAACTCATAGCCCGTAATTAAACTCATAGCATGCCAACAAGTGCAATCACTAAAAACGGATACAATATGAGAACAAAATAGACGTCTCCTCTATAGGTCATGGCCTGTGTTATAAACCACCAACTGGCAGACGCACTATTTGCTGGTGTATAACCCCCACTAGCAGGGTCACTCGAACGAACCAGTTCTATCAATAACATGTCAACATGTGCTAGCGTTTAACCCCCACTAGCAGGGTCACTAATAACATGACCACATCGAAGACAAAACAGGTAGAGGTTAACAGAAAAATCATAATTCACCAATCACTTTCAAATCATTAGGACAATCAATTTAAATTTCAAGTAGGCATGCTCAATTTAATGAAAAGCATAAAAATTTCACTTCAAATCAATCATACTTACTTTTGCATAAAACGGGTTTAGTCCCGCCACCACTTCAAAAATAAGTCAAAACATACTTTTAAAAACTGTACGGGCATTACCATAAATTTACTTACCTCACTTCCCATAAACAGGAAACTCGACCCTAGAGCTCTAAGCCACAACAGCACCTAATATTCCAAATAAACATGTTCAGACCTCGCTACAATATTAACACAACATCGCAATTTATGTCAATCTCTCATGACCGAACACCTCTAATTTTATTCTCATATAGAACTAAGCATTTCATCCTCTTTATTGTTGCCGGCAAAACCCCAAAAATGCAATATTCATTTATTTATTTATTTATTTTCTTCTTTCCGAATTTTAGCATTAATCCAGATTGGGGATACATATATATATATACCAATTAAATACACACACATTTACATATATTTATAGCTTCCCAAACTCACGGGCAAACAATGGGGAGCATGGCTTTTATTCAATTATTGTCTCTGGCAAAACTGCCACTAACACACGGGATTTTCTACTCCAAATAATTAAAACCCAATGTATGAACAGTGTGCATGAACAGTGCGTGTGAACGGTAACTGATATTTCCATAATTCAATTACAGCAAACTCAAATACCAGAAAAAGGATATTTCACCAGATTTTCAGAACAGAACAGACTGAAAAGAAAGGAAAAACAGTAGCAAAAATGCAGAAAAACGCAGCAGCAATTTGCAAATTTTCTGCGCGAACAGTAGCTGCGCGTGAACAGTAAATTTCGGCAAAACAGCAGGATTTTCCACACAGAACAGCAGCTAATTTCAAGCCAAAAACAGGTTTATTTCTACACGAATTAAGCTAAAAAACATGTTTAAAATGCTGCCAAATTCTTCCATATTTCCAGCAAAATTTCGAACAACACAGAGCATCAACTAAATAGACAAAACCCAGCAATTAAATGGGTAATTTCAAACTTAATGGGGCTGTCAACATACCAGAATTCCAGCTAGCAGAACCGGACCTGGCAGGGAAAAGGGCTGACGAAAATTGGAGGGGGAAACTCGCGGACTACCAACAATTCAAGAACCAAAAACAGAAATTAGGGTAACCCAAGCCAAATCAAAGCTAAAAAGAGGAATCCATGGCTATCCCTTTATCAGAAAACCGAACTCAACCCCACACAGCAGAGGTCAACGGACAGAGGGGAAGAAGACAGCGCAGATCTGGAAATTTCTGGGTTTAGGAGAGTGTTCTAAGTCCTAAATCTTGTTATTGAACAAGAAAGAAGGGAATTTCATCAAGATCTCGCCGGGTTTTCAAGGGAGGAGGGAGTCGGTGGCTTTGGGGGGCTTTCGGGAGGCAGAGCATCAGGGAGAAGATGAAGCTGAACACGTGTGGCTGAGGATGAAAGAGAGAAAATATCAACTGATCCTTATCCTAATTTCTTTTCTTTTTAGTCCCTAAACTTTAAAAAATGTTGCTATTACATTCATTAATGATATTTCTTCACAATTAGGTCCCTAACTCACACTTTAATGCTCTAGAAATTTTGGGGTATTACAATATAAGTAGATGTATACAATACAATAAGTTTTAATATGGTGAAAAGAGCTAATCATATGATGAGATGTAAGTTTATATGAAAAACTAGTTTTTGTTTTGTTGGTGCGTTGCACAGTTTTTTCTTTTTAATTTTTTTATATTAGAGTTTAGATTTATTATTATTTTTTTATCAACTCTTGAGTTTTATAATGATTTTTAATTAAAAAATTTTAATTAAGTAATTAAAGTTAAGTTAACAATTGTATTTAGTAATTAATAGGAGTATTTTTAAAAAAAATTATATATAATCACATTAGAAAAAGAATATTAAGAGAATTTAAAAAACACTTAATATTAATTCTTATCTCATATATCTGTTCTTTTTCTCTACTATTATTTTATTTAAAAATTCAGATAATATTTTCTCTTCTCTCAACTAAAAACTATAATATAGTTAAATAGGATTAAATACCTATTGTTGACTCAATGTACTCCAAGAGAGGGGGTGAATTGGAGTTCCAAAAATTCTCCCCTTTTTGCAACCACAAAACCAAAATTAAAAAGAGTAGAGAAGAACTTACTCAATGATTTATAGAGATTCGGTCCAACCACTTGGAACCTAGTCCTTTACCTTGGCTTCACTCACCAAGGATTTCCTCCACACTCTCCACTAACAACGACAAGGGTGGCTTAAAGGAGCCACTCAATCCTTTTATAAGAAAAAGGGTGTTTCTCTCAAATCTCACCCCTTTACACTTAAATCCCACAAATCCTCTCTACAAATCACTCTTGAAGAATTAATCACACCTCCAAGATCACTCACAAATAGAACAAAAAGAGGATTACAAGTAAAGATCTCTCAAAGATCAAAAACTTAAGTTAAAACTCATGTAGGTAGGTAAAGATATTCAATACAATGCTCTTTAAACCTCCTTTAGATTTTCTACCAACCATATTTATAACCCCATGGTCGAAAATAGCCGTTACTAGCCATTGGAGGTCATTTAATGTTCTGCAGGACGCAAAGCTCGAGTTGCAGGATTGTCAAGAGAACCGGCTTAACTCCCTAAAGCCGGCTCTGTACAGTCGGCTCACCATTTTTGCAACCTGCTTTGCGGGATTCTACACAATCTATTTTCTCCATAGAGCCGGCTCCAAAATGCAAAGCTGGCTTTGCGGGTTTACTGCACATTCTGTTTTCATCCATAGCCAGCTACAAAGCCTAGAGCCGGCTTTAGTATTCCGACTTTAACAATATTAATTATTCTTCAAATAAGTCGACCATTGTGCATTAAATGAACCCTTACAGCCAGCTGCAAAGTTAGAGCCAGCTCTGCATCTTTTCTCTATGCGCGCTAAACAACGGACCTTTAAATCTTTACCTATAAAGCCTGCTGCATCTTCCAAAGC